AGCAATTGAAATGTGGATCTTATATTTTACACCATTCAAACTGCTTGCGTATGTGTGTGTGGTGATAAGATACTTTAAAAATAAAATTTCATTTGGTGGGAGGCTTATAGTTAACTGTAAAAGCAATGCACAGATCATGTGAATTACCATCATATAAAAATAAATATGCAAATGACTGTAATACTCTTTTCCAAAATAGCATCTTTAATAGGAAACTCTTCATAAGAACCTTTATAAAGTGACATATTTTAAAATCATTTTTTTATATTTTACAAGTACTTATAACTAGTTCTTATTTTTAATTAGAAAATACACATCTTTTCAGCCACACCTGAATAAGTGGTATGTATGAACATAAAGAATGGATGTATATACATACTTCTATTATAAGTAAAAACATTATCAATCAAACGAGTTCTCATCAAGCATTTCTACTCATAATAAGCTTTATATATTACTGGATACTGTGGAGATTACAGAAGTAATATGTAATTTTTTCACTCAAGAAGCTTAAAATCTACATGGAAAACACAGGAGTGAATGTAATTGGGTCCTAAAGTGTGTTTTTGCAGTAAATTCTAGGTACTCTGTAAATATTGTCAAATAAGTGAATAAACTATAAAAGCTAAACTTTGTTTTTAATCACTCAATTTAGATAATTTAAATATTTCAAAAAATTCTCTATCAATGGCAAGTTTGAGAAAAGGGCTTATTTAAATATCCAGCTTGGAATGTATATTCCAGTTATTTATTGCCATGTATATCTATCTATTACTTCCCCCTGCCCCCAACCAACCAACAATTTTATATTACTCATAAATTCTATAGTGCAGGATTTTGAACAGCGAACAGCAGGGATTCTCTCTTTCCATGATGTCTAGGGCCTCAAATAGGACGATTCCAACAGCTGGAGGCAACTTGAACTGATGGGGGCTGGAAGAGCTGAAAATGGAAGCTCTCTCAACAAGATGGTAATAGACCTTTAGTTTCCTCCTAGTGACTGGCCTGGGATGATTTAAAGGCTGATCTCAGTTGGGACTGTTGACCACAACACCTACATATGGCCTCCCCAGGAGGCTTTGACTTCTCACAGGATGGAGGCTGGGTTCTAAGAGTGTTCAGGCTAACAGGGAGTGTTCTAAGAATGTATGGTCATTTTTTTTTTTAACTGCCACAGTGAAAATATTTGTTCTAGGCTTTAAAGAATCTGATGGCTATAGATTTGGAGATTGCATTTTAAGGCCTCAGAAGTAGAATGCTTTACTGATTGCAAAAATGATTTAAAAGTCTGCATAATGGATACTATGAATTGTTTATTAAAATCCATCCTGGCTCCTCTTTTTCAAGAAAAGAATCGTGGCTGGGTCCATGACTACGCAGTCAGAGACTACATTTCTTAGCCTCATTTGATGCTCTGTGTGGTCAAGTGACTACATTCTCACAAACAAATGTGAGCAAAAATGTCTGATTTTGAGCCTGGATCTTAAGACATTGGACATACAATCCTTCATGTTCTTTATTCTTTCTGATAGGGCAGATCATGGCCTTCCTTAACCCCGCTTTAACCAGGTGGCTGAGAATGCTGTAGTGGATGGTAGGGCAGTAAGACAGAAGGAACCTGGGTTCCTGGGTGGCCTCATAGAGCAGAGCCAGTCTGATAACTTGGATTGCTTACCTTGTGTAGTCCTTGTGTGATAGAAATAAATTTCTATCAGTGTTCTTTAAGCCATATGAGTTATTACCATAACTCTTAGCTATATCCTATTTAGTCTTTCAGTAATTTCAAAAGCTTCTCTTACTTTGGAACATTTTATGTTATTCTCTCTCCTTGGAAAATTCTTTACCACCTTCTTTTGCCCAGTGAACATGTACCCACTAGTGAGAACTCAGCTTAAGTGTGAAGTACTTAAGAAAGGATTGTCTGACCTGTGTTCAAAGTACTCTGACTTTACCTTCTTAGTTATTATAGCTGTTGTACTAAACTACAAGTTCCATGAAGACAGAAACCAGGTATGCTTTGGTAACCATTATATTCCCAGTGACAGGAAGGAAGAAATTTTCTCTTTCCAAAGAGCATTTTTTTTTCTGCATCTTTGTGCACATGGCAGAAAATGTCCTAGAACCACAATACTTCACTCCTCTAGGGCCACCAATTAATCAGCATTTCAATGTTCTGTTTCCAAATTCTTGGAAAGAGAATCTGATTGGCTAAACTTGGATATGGTTAACAGTGGCTCAATCATAGTTTATTGGAAGATCTACATACATTAAGCAGAGTCAACATGGCTACAGAGACTTCTCTGGGAATAGAAGGAATTGTCAGTAAAGTGGATGTGGACGGAGCTGACATCTCCAAAAGTATCTCCTACAGTCACTAGCTGGCTCTCCTGTTCTGTGTTCTTGATTTTGTCTTAACAACCTTGTTCTCAAAATTATCCTCAAAGAGCCCACAAGGGAACAATTTCTGTGAGGAGATTCTTAAGGAAGAGAAGGGTGGTGATTAAGTAGTTTTGACTCAGTCTCCTTGAGTTTTGCCTTTTCCTGGCAGATTCTCTTACTTTGATTACCACTGCTACTTCACTCTGATCTCTTAGAAGAAAGGTTGGGGAGTTCACCCTTCTCTTTTTCTTTTAACACTAGCATCAAAAACAATGATAACACAAAAATACACACACAAAAAACCCTTCCCAATCTGTACTTTTCAAACACTTTACTAAATATTAACGAAGAACAAAACAGAAATAAACAATGTAAGTCAACAAAAAGCGTGACTCACAAAGTAAAGGTTTCTGGTCCTTTCCCTGGATATATAGTTTTGGTCTAATTTTATTGAAATCTAAGGAAAAAGATGACCCCTATCATCAGAATGAACAGCACAGAAAATTGAAAAAAAAAAGTTAACTCTTCTTGGATTTTTCCTGTAGTATTTGCTCCATCCTAAAAGAGAAATAGGAGATAATGTTTCTAATTATTGTTCATTGAAACTATTTCTATATGCTTGGCCATTTATAATTAAGACCTTTAAAATATCTATGAAAAATTAAAAAATCTGCATAAATAGTGATACAATCCAGAATTTTTTTTTTTTTTTTCTGAGACAGAGTCTCACTCTCTTGCTGGGCTAGAGTGCCATGACATCAGCCTAGCTCACAGCGACCTCAAACTCCTGGGCTCAAGGGATCCTCCTGTCTCAGCCTCCGGGGTAGCTGGGACTACAGGCACACACCACAATGCCCCACTAATTTTTTTCTATTTTTAGTTGTTTGGCTAATTTCTTTCTATTTATAGTAGAGATGGGTCTTGCTCAGGCTGGTCTCGAACTCCTGAGCTCAAGCAATCCTCCTGCCTTGGCCTCCTAAAGAGTGCTAGGATCATAAGCCTGAGCCACCACACACATCTATTTTTTAAACAATTTTTTTAAATGGAAACCAAAAAACATTTTTATTGTTAATATAAATTAGAATGTATCTTGAGGAGAACTATACTTAGAATTCTCTAAAGACATTTTAAATAGGGGCCAAATGCAACTCATCTGAATCAACATGTTTGCATTAAAACTTTTTCAAGTGTGGTTCAGTCTAAGTTTGATTTATGTCCTATTACTTTTTTTCCTCCTGAACAGAGACTGTGAGCTGGGTAGAAGCTTTTAGCTCAATTTGCTGTTTAAACTATCATTTTCCAGATTATCAAGTAGCTTTTATACTGTGTTGACCTCTGTTTTGTGTTGTACTACTTTCCCCAGCAAAACTAAGCTCGGAAATAATTCTTATATAACTTTTAAAACTTTGTATATATGTTGTTTACATTTACATGTGAAATGTAAAATTAAAATTATTATCAATACTTGTTTTAGCATTAGAAATATGTAAAACAAAGTCTTTTTCTACAGTAAAAATTTGAAGGAGTATAACTCTTTAATTTAAATGAGAATTCTTTTTTAAAGTTCTTATAGTAGTATGGTGTAGGTTAAGATAAGCATTAGTGGTGATTAGAAGACTTGGGTTTTAGTCTCCATCACTGTCACTAAGTCTTAATAATAATGTTGTCTTGCTCCTAATTAACTAAGTAAACTATGCCGTATTTCTTTTCTGCCTATAAAAGGTTAGACATTTTCAGTCTCTTCTACTTCTAAAATTTCATGGTTCTGAAATGTGACCATTTTCTCTCATATCTAAATTAATTTTTACAAAGACTACACATCGACTTCTTTTAAGCCCTTGCACAACTCTTAATTCTACCCTTATTAATCACCTACTATGTACTATATGTTACCAAGTAGTCACGTTAGCTCTAACGTTATCATACCAATGAAAGTTGGCTTTTTCCTTTCCAGAGGTTGATTCCGCCCCACTCACCTTTAAATTCAGTTAAAACAATTCAAGAAGCCAGCTAATTAAATTCTTAGCTCAGTATAGCTCCCCAGCACAAATCAACAGTGCTGCCATACAGCGCTCGAGGAAAAGGCATCTTAAAGGCTGTGCATTAAAAAGTTGCCAGGGATTCTTGAAAAGTACAGAGCACACACCAGTTCCGCCAGCTGTGCACCTTACTGGTTGAGAAGGCGCGCTGGGGGTGAGGGCGAGCAAAAGCCAAGATTATTAATACTCTGGGTTGAGGGTGAGCGAGAGAGCAAGGGCATAATCTATAAAATAGGAGTCCCGAAAAAGCTCTTTGGGTTGTAGAGATTAGACAAGGGCCTGTTTAAATTCGGCCCAAACTTCGGCAAGAAAAGACAAGGTGGAACTGGGAAAAAAACAAACTAAAAAAACCCTGAAAAACAACAGCGAGCAGGCTCCCCAGTTCTAGCGTTCACCGCGGAGCCGTTAAACGCAGTAGGAAAGTGGGCGTGTGTTTTCGTGTTCTTCCCGCCTCCCCAGAGACGCGGGCCCAGTCCTTTCCCCTCATTTTCACCCCTGCCGGGTCCAATGGCTGCCCCCGCCGAGAAGCCGGGTCGGAAGCCGCCCCGCCCCCGGCGCCGCGCCCGTGCTGGGGTCTCCTCCGCCCCACCTCCTCCGCCCGGCGAGAGGCGGTGGCTGCGGCCGTCACGTGTGCTGGCAGCCGCCAAGTGAGGCCGCTTTTGCGACGCGGTGACAGCCAAATGGTGCGACAGGAGGAGCTGCAGCCGCGGCCGCTGCGCCCCGCACGGAGAGGGTTGAGGCGGCTCCTGGCGTCGCCCGGAGGGAGCGACTAAGCGAACCGTCCGGCGCCGGCGGCGGCGGGCAGGCGGGCGGCGAGAGGGAGCCCGCTACGAGTGCCCTCGCTCCCCGCCGCTCTCGATGAACCCGGCGGAATAAGCCGCGCCTCCAGCAGGGGCTGCGCCTGCCATGAATCCCTAGGTTTTTTTTCCTTTCTCTCCCTGCTCCTCACCCCCACCCCGAGTCCCGTCCCGCCTTCTCCCGTCGCCAGCGGCGGCCGCGTCCAGGTGCGGAGTCCAGAGCGCAGCGCAATGGCGTCCAACCCCGAACGGGGGGATATTCTGCTCACGGAGCTGCAGGTAAGGGCTGCGGCCCGGGCAGGACGCGCCGGTAGAGGAGACAGGGAGAAAGTCTGGCGCGGGGTCGGGGGCGGAGGGAAGCTCTGCGGCCGCCGCGCCCCTGGCCCGCTAAGTGCGGAAACTCGGGGATGTCACTCGGGAACCGCTTCCCCTGGGAGCCGGACCCTCTCCCCTGCCAAAGCCTTGGCCTGCCACCTCTTTAATTTGATTCTACCTACCAGAGGGGACCCTATCTCTGCTGGCTGCCTATGCTGCAGCAAGAGTGTGCTCTCCGCCGTCCCCGGAGCGGCCACCTCGCCGCCCCCTCCCCCTGGTGTCAGATCTGCCCGCGAAAGCCCCTGCGGCCCCCTCCCTCCGCCTGGTCGGGCCTCGCCCCGCCTTTCCACTGTACACCGCTCCTTAAACTCCTTTGAATGACTCCCAGGCTGTTTTCTCGATCCTCCCCTTCCCCTCAGACTTCGCACAAAGAGCGCCCCCATAACTTCCAGCCCCTAGACAAGTTTTCTTTCTTTTTTTTTTTTTTTTTAAACTAGTCCCACCCAACGCTTGCTTCACTTCACCAGCTCCCTTCAGGTGATTGAGTTTCTTTCCTCTAGTTTGAGGGCTTTTTTTTTTTCTTTTTTAGCAAGTGATAGATGTATAGTCCATTTCTCTGCTACCCTGCTAAGATCCGGAAGCTCAGATGCTGATGATTTTCAGACTTTCATTTTCCCTCCCATTTGAACACCAAAGAAAGAGCTACAGAAGTTGTTTACAAATGAGAAAGCAGTCAACTTACGGACAACATTGGGCACCACATGTCTGCAAATGATAACAAAATAGATCCCTTAATTACTTAAGTTCATGTCGAGTAGCAATACTGTTCTTTACCATTTACAGCTAAATATCTGTTGATGTGGGCACGATTTTTGTTTTTAGATCTCTGGTGTACGAGGGGACTTAAGCTACCCTGTAGGGTTTATTTTTCATTACTTTGGAGTATTCCAGGGATGTTTACATCTTAATTTTAACAGATGTTAAAATTTCATGGCTTTTTAAACTTGGTTTGTTTTAATATAGTTATCTTTTAGCAACTCGAAGATTGGAGATGGGAATTAAGAGGAAAAAATGCTTGCATTTCTTGTGGGTTGGGCAGTTATTATTTTTTTTTTTTTAAAGATAATCTAGAAACCCTGAAGGGTTGATTCTTGATGACAGAGTGAAATACTGCACCTGCATCTAAATTTCTTGTTTGAACGCATTTTTCAATTGATCCCTATATAAGTTTGGTTATTGTGCAATCAGATGTAACCTTGAAAGCATTGCTATAATGCTTGATATTTCCTCCACAAACGATGTACATTCCTTCAACAATGTACATCAGTGCACTGTTGCAAATTTGGAATCCTTTGGAAATGCAAAGCTGATTTCATATGACTGAAAATGTTGCTATGTAGTATTTTAATTACAGTTGGCTTTTTATAAGCAAGTCTTACAGCACACTACATTTGCTAAGTGAATGGAATTTATTATTTTATTAATTTACATGAACTTTTAAAATAAAGATGATTTGAGGCACAGTGAGTGTACATTGCTAGTATTGAAAATGAAAAGCATACTTTGGTTTTGACTGAGAAAAAGACACTACAATAACAGGGGCATTTTTCTTTTGATTTGAGTGGTGTTAGAATTATAAAGTATTTGGTTTTGTATTTTATGGAAAGTTGGCATAAAAGACACGTTAGCACTGGAATTAAAAATGTTTTCATGTGTATTAAAATACAACTTTTAGGATCTTTTAATAAGATCAGTTTGGCAATAACAAGGAAGCAAGTCTAAGAAATTTTAAATATGAGGACTTAAAAGTGGGACTGAAGTAGGGGAATACTTAATCTGAAGTTAGACTTTTAAATAAGCTGAAATATAACCTCTTCCAGAAAAAGACTGGTCCTTATTAAGTGTTACTTTATAGGTTGTCATGTATATTCAGGGCATTTTTTTTGGTTGGACTAGCACTTCTAATAAAAGATATTACACTTAAACTTTATCACGTTTATTAAAATATTTGAGGATATTATTTATATCAGCGCATAAGTAATCATCATAAAATTTGCTTCACCAGGTATATTCATCGATTCAAACATTTTTATTATTTCATTTGGTCCTGAAACTAGTGTATAGTAACCAAATATTTATCAAACTTGTTTTGAGAATCAGTTTCTTAAAAAGCTCCTAAATTGTTTGAATTTAGTTGCAAAATTGTTTAATATGAAGTTCTTAATGCTTCTCTGCCATTATGGATTTTAAGTATTTAAAAAGTAAGTTCTATAGCCAGTTTTAAAATGTATATAATAGTTAAAAACTGTTACTTTGCTATATATCTTGTCTCAGGAATACTTGTTTCACTCTGAAAGTTACATATTTCAATCTAATTTTAACAAAATACCTATTTATTTAAAAACATCCAGCTTTTCATTATTTCTTCAAATTATGTGGCAGAGTTTGAAATACTTTACTACTTGAGCTGGAATTGATTTATTAAAAGGCTTTGGTTGTGAAAAGACAAAACTAAGAAAATGTAGAACTGCAGTATTCTGTCTTAATTACTGTAATAGTTCTATAACTATTTCTAACATTTTGCTAATAATTTACAAGGAAGCATTAATAAAATACACACAAACTGTGATGGCCAGAGGCTTCAGGGTCTGAGTAAGAATATTTCTTGTAGTAAAAATAAAAATAGGCTGTTTAAAAATGTAAACTTAATTGGCAATTTCTAATTTTTATCTTTGATAGCTAATTTGTTATGTTGTATTCTCTTATTTTTTATTTGAAGTGTAACTTAGCGAGATACTTTTGTGAGGCTGAATAAACTGAAGTTTATTTCCAAGGAAACTAGATTAATGAAAACTATAAAGAATCTCAAAATGAAAAATGTTGATTACAACGGTAATTTTGTAAAATGCAGAACCAAATATTGAGCAACATGCTAGTAAAGTTACCTTGTTGATCATTGGAGATTCATCATAGTCATCAAAGTGCCCAATAATTTGTTGCGCTGGGAATCTTAAATTCCATTCTGAGCAGAATTTATTTAGGGAGAGGTAACTCACTGAAGTAAAAAGTTGAATAGTTAGCCTTTAATTATAGGTGTTAATTTCAACAGACAGTTATGGAGTATCTACCAAAGCTATATTGGAGGATGATATAAAGATGATAAGATACATTTTTCCTTTCTAGAAGAGAGTACAAGTAATATTTGTACTAGAAGAGAATTATAAGAGAGTACAGGCCGGGCGTGGTGGCTCACGCCTGTAATCCTAGCACTCTGGGAGGCTGAGGTGGGAGGATCGCTCAAGGTCCGGAGTTCAAGACAAGCCTGAGCAAGAGTGAGACCCCATCTCTACTAAAAATAGAAAGAAATTAGCTGGACAAATAGAAAAAATTAGCTGGACATGGTGTCACATGCCTGTATTCCCAGCTTCTCGGGAGGCTGAGGCAGAAGTATTGCGAGAGACTGGGAGTTTGAGGTTGCTGTGAGCTAGCCTGACACCCTGGCACTCTAGCCCAGGCAACAGAAAAAGACTCTGTCTCAAAAAATAATAATAATAATAAAATAAGAGAGTAGAAATTTTTTGATTATATGGGCTGCATGACGGACTTTGTACTTAGCATCCTATACACCTTATTTGATCTTCACAATGATCCAATAAGGTAGATGTTATTTCCATTTTATGGATCAGGAAACTAAGTTCAAGAATGTAAAGTCAATTGCTGATGGTCTTTTGAGTCTGAGTTTGAACTCAAGTCTATATGTATCCCATTATACCATTCTTTTTGGCTCTGTGGAACCATAAATGTTTTGCATTTCAATGTTGTGTGAACTTTCTAAAAATTGGCTAAAAATGTAGTTAACCAGACTTAACTTTAACATAAGCTTTATGCTACTTGTTAGCTCTCTCTATAATAAGGAAAAATGATTCCCACATTCTATTTGGTAGTCTGTAATTTAGCACTGTTTTATTGCTGTAAATACGGTGTAATATTCCACAAAGAATAACAGTACATATAATCTTTTTACTGGCTTTCCTCATTTAACAATTACTGTTTTGGATAATGGTGTCAAATGTTTGCCCAGAATGTCCCAAAAGATTTGGCATTTCTATGTAGAGTGTCCAAACTTTGCTTTAAAATTTTAAGCAAAATTTTAGCTCTCGTGTAACCCAGCTCTTCATTTAACACTTAGTAGGTACGCAATACATTGATGAGAAGGTTCAATTTGTTGCTAGTATAAGGAATGTCTTGACTGTCTTAAGCGAAGTTCATTATAATAATTGACAAATGAAAGTACTTAGTTTTCTTTAATTTACATTTCTAATCCCAGCTCCCAAAAATATTCCCTTGAAAAATACAAAAGGGATTTGGGTAGTAATGTTACACCTACCTACAGCCCACTGGTATTTTACTCATCTGATAGGAAATTAGGAGGTGGCATCTAATTTTGCAATGGTATTGAAAAGTGGAAGATGTGACTTGGGAGAATTATTTTTTAGAGTGGTTTGGGGAGAATGTAGTATGAGAATGTAAGCAGGTGGATAAGACAGGTTTTTCTTTTTTTCAAATTATAAACATAATGCATGTTTATTGTTGAAAATCTGGAAAATGCAGAAAAGCACAAAAGAACGTAAGAGTTGCTCATAGTTCTGTCAGGTAACTAACAAACTTCTAACCTAAAAGTCCCATGGCTTCAGAGTCTACTTTCTCTATTTTTTTTCTTCCATATCTCATTTTACTTGTTAGAATTTTTAAGAAAAATGAGGTTCAGAGAGTTTTAAGATAGAAATAGCTATAGTTTAAAAATTTTTTTTCTAGCTACTGGTTCTAGATAAGTGGATCTAATTATAATTAACCTATTAACTTTTTTATCACAAAGTGTTTTGATTTTGAGTCATTGTTTTGTAACACGGTTAAGAAAAATACAATATGGATTTAGTAATAGACCAGAATGATAAGTAGCAACA